GTAGGGAAATTCACTGGGTGGGAGAGTCTTTTAATTAAGCTGGTTTGAGTGTGAATAATTAATATTATAACTACTTAATCTCAAATGAATATGTTAAAATATTCCATTGACCTAATTTCTTAAATATCTTAAATATTTTGCTTTGGAAAAATATCTTGTTCTTTCATAAACTGGAAGTAAATCTAATTTGCTTTCCATTTTCTCTTATATATTAAAAATACCAAAATAGTTTGAAAAATAGGCAGTTGTTCTACATATGTTAACACACTCAACAAGAATAAACATATACTGGAAAGCAGCATATTTTAGAATATCACTATTTTCTGGTTTTATTTTTGTTTTGAGAAAATTTTTTAAATAAGGAAATTATGAATAGTAAATAATATAGCAAATACTTCCATCTCTTCTTAAATTAATAACTGCTAACACTTTATCATATTTGCTTCAAGCCTTTTGTAATTTAATGATATAAGAACATTTGCTTTAAACAGTTTTACTTCCTGACCTTCTCCTGAGACAACTATATTAGGAACCTTATTTTTGTTCAATCTGTTTTTTGTATGTATCCCTAAATAACATACAGTGCTGTTTAGAGTTTTTAAGTTCACATAAACTGACATCTTTTTCTGCATCATTCCTTTTCCTGTAAACATTGCTTTTATAATTAGTTTCTTTTTAAATATGAATAGAATTGTATAATATGACTATGCCATATATTATATGTCCATTCTCTTATTGATGAATATTTAGGCTATTTTCAGTTTCCACTGTTATTTTATGGTGCTGCAGTGAACATTTGGTATATATGTGCAAGAGATTCTCTATGCAGAGTACATTAGCAGTTTCACTTGATTCGCCCAATAATGCCTCAAAGTGGCTGTACTAATTTGTTTCTGGACAAATATTAAAATTTGTAGCATTATGGCCAAATAGGAGCTAAACCTGTTTTTATTTAGTATTTCTTAACTGTACAATTCAGTGTTTAATTTCAGAAATTATACCTTTGAGCGGTAGGACACTTAATTAAATATATTTTGTTGATAATTTATAGCATAAATATTTGGACAATAGAATATAATCACCCTCTCTTCAACCATCCAACTCAACTATTTATAATCATTTTTGTATGTTCCTTCTTGTGTTTATAACATTATTTTAACTATGCTGGTTATAATTTTTATATGTTTTTAATATTGCTTTATATTATATTTAGTTTCTGTGTTACAACCTTTGCCATTTCTATATTTTGATGTGAATAATAGCAATTAAGAACTAACTATTAATTTATTCTTCTATTCTTCATTATTCTACCATTTGACATTTTAAACCATTTATATATCTTTTAAAAATTGTTCTTCATAGAGAAACTTGTGGTTGGAGCGTGTAGGCAGCCTTTAGATTCCTGGGATAAGGATTATGATTCCTTTGTTTTACCCCTGTTGGAGGACAAACAACCGTGCTACGTATTATTCAGGTTAGATTCTCAGAATGCCCAGGGATATGAATGGATATTCATTGCGTGGTCTCCAGACCATTCTCATGTAAGTAATTTTTTGGTTACTTATTTAACATTAAAAGCTAGAAAATTTTTTTCTGAAATATTCCTAGGCCAAGAGAAGTTAAGAAGCAACAGTCATATCTCATAGATGGGAATGATCATGGAAAAAATCCTTGTGATTGGTAATGTAGAATCAGGGATAATGTACTTAGATTCAGAAATCTTGACCTTGATTGAAATCAGTAGAATTATTATTGATTTTAAATTGAAAAATTTGTGGCAATTATAAATGACTCTGTGGACCTCTGAAGAATGAACGTTACTACTTTGAGAGTAATAATTAAAATAATTCTTGTAGAACTAACTGAACATTTTATTAAATATTCTCAATATTTAATATTGAGAATAGCTGCCATTCAAGTGATGGGCATACACACAAACAAGTATTTCTCTTAGGAGAGTTAGTAGACTGATTAATAGAATAAAATAAAAAAACTAGTATATGGATACTGCTCAATATTTTAAAAATTAATTCTCTTGTTTATTGTAGGAAAATAATTTTAAAAGTTATGTAGATATCATTCTCAAAAGTCATCACTTCCTATTTAATTCTGTATATGCTGTCTGAAACATATACTGGATTTGACAGTACAAAATTATGAAATGATTTCTATTGGTTGGCAGTTATCTTTAGTAGTTTTCCATAGATGCTATCAGACTCTTTAATAATAGTATATATTGTAGTTCTTTTCTACTTTGTCCCTCATAGAATGGTTTATGCCATAGTTATGCCATGAATATTTGATTCTTAAACAACTAAATAAGTAGTGTCTGACCTAGACTTGGTTTGAGTAAAATGTCATTATCAAGTTTACTTCATTTCAGTGATTTTAAAATAGTGTTTTAAGTAGTTTTTTTATTCCTGAATTCATTTTATACTTTGACAAAAATGAATGATTTTCTAAAATTTAGTTTTTTTCTACTTTTCAAAAAATATGACTTATAAATTGAAGTCTTCCTTAGTAGCTGTTGATATTTTAGATGCTGATGTTATGACATATTTTAACATGTTATAGTCAACGGACTTCAGCTTTGTCACAGTTTATTTTCTTTTTAATGTGCTTGAAGATTTTCATACATTTATAAAGTGCTTTCTTTTGTAATGAAGTTTTCATCTATAAACTTATAAGTAAACTTTCACAATTACTAGGTTCGTCAAAAAATGTTGTATGCAGCAACAAGAGCAACTCTGAAAAAGGAGTTTGGAGGTGGCCACATTAAAGATGAAGTGTTTGGAACAGTAAAGGTACAAAACTTATACTTTTATGTAGATTCTGCATGTTGCACCGAGGTAATGGGATAGTTAATGTGAATTATGACTGGTGAATCGGTAAACATAAAGAATAAGAGAAAATATTATGTTTCATATGATATGCAAGTTAACTGAAACATCATACTTACACTTTTAAAATATGTTGGAATCTCTTCTGTTAGTCTTCAAACACTAGAATATCCCTTGGAGATCATTTAGTTCAACCCGTCATTTAGTTCAACCTTTTCATTTTAAGGATGGGGAGATAGGCTCAGAAAAATGAGAGACTACTTAAAAGAGATGGTAGGTTTTAGATATTTTGGACGTTTACACTTATGCTGTGTAAGCAATAGCTGTATTAATTGAACTAGAACATTGAGGCAGGTAAATTGATTGATAATTAATTGGGGTAATTGTTGATTAATTAATAAATTTAGTTAAGTTATGATTAAGAATTTATTTCATTATAAAATTTATATGGTAAATACATGTATGTAGATATACCCCAAAATTAAGAAAATTACAGTGTATTTTTTCAACAGGTTTTTTGTTTTTTAGAGCTTTTATTGTGATTCAGGGAGTAATATATTCTGGTGGATAGAGCACGAGACTAGATGGGGGTATCCTTTGCTTATTCACATCAGTTGTGAAGTGGCCTGGTTTCTCAATTCTATTCTCAGTCTTCCAAACCACAAAATTTTGATGAGAAGTAAACTTCTTCGGAATATTTTTTATTTTAAATAAGAACTGTAATTATTTTCTATGAATAATTATAGAGAAATTATATAATTCATTACAGTACGGAATTCAGAATCTGAATATGTTGATTATTGAATAACTATGGGGCAGGCTTCCCCAGGTTAATTATAATTGTCCTATAGACTTGAAGCATGATCAGGTTCGTCATGTGGCTGGCGTTACCACCATCACACTCACACAAAAGATCTAGTAATTGTAAAGTTTTAGGAAATGAAGTGTAGCTAATCCCCTTAAAACTTTTGAAACCTGTAGAATAGAATTTTTTTTAAAAAAAAGAAGTAATAAAATTATTGTTACTATTTATTTTTAGTTAAAATATTTTCTGTTAAATTAATGATTTTGTTTTCCTAAAGTAGCCTCACAACTAGTAACAGTCAGTTTCTGTGCTCACAGGAAGACGTGTCATTACATGGATATAAGAAATATTTGCTGTCACAGTCTTCTCCTGCCCCACTGACTGCAGCTGAAGAAGAATTACGACAGATTAAAATTAATGAGGTATTAATTAATTACCATTTTGAAACCTTGCAAGATTCTGAGTGCTTAAAAATACTGTATTTTTAATTAATCGATGAGGTAACTAGAGAATAAATAAGTTAGATAGCTTACATTTATTCTGTTCAGTTTAGAGACAAGACTGTGCTCAATGTATCTTCAGGAAAAAGTTAAAAGTGAATATTAAACTTCATGTCAGTTTCATAAGTAGCTTTCTCCTGTATTTATAATGTAGGTTATAGATTAGTAATCTTCCTGTGAGAAGTACAACTGTTTTTAACTTTGTACTTTGAATACTAAATATCGATAAATGGGAAAAGTATGTGTTACCCATGTAGTGTGAGCGATATTATATGTAATGAGGTTGCCTGAAGAAGGTTTGTTTTGTTATTTCAGAGAATACTGACGACTAAAGAGAGTAAAACATAAATGCTGTAGTGTGTTTAGGATTTCGAGGCTCTATAAATTAACTTCTATGGACATTACTTGGATGGGTGTGTGCATATACATATATATATGTGGGAGATGGTTATCTGAGTACTTATTTAGCATATTAGAGTCAATAAATTTCATCCATATTGTAGTTTATCATATTTCTAATGTGTTTACTGCAGCAATTCTAAGTTAGAATAGCTACTGTATTTCTACCAGAATTTTATAGAAAAGAACAAGTAGCAGAAACTACTATTCACTTGTCTGAGTAACAGACTAGTAAGAATCAGTCTGAAAAGTGATTGAATATTATTTAATATTGACCTGATAGCAAGGATCTATCTTTATATTATTTTAACTCAAGTTATTTGAGTATGAATTTTTACATGGTTTTTTTTTTTACAAGTTTGATAGTTTGTTTTATTCCTTGCAATCAGAACCCAGAGGATCTTATTGGGGTATGCATTTGCATATGTTCTATGATGTTTTCATTATACAATACCATTTATGCTGTAGAATCTCCATTCATTTTTTTTTTAAGTAAAATTTCTATTTGACTTTGTTGCAACACTGCAAATGAGACCCTATACTATGCTGTCATTTACTGAGTATAAAAGTCTTATTAAATATGTGCATTGAAAGCTTTCTTGACGTACTCTTCTCTTCTTCCGATACGTGCACACCCATGTTCTTAGTAATGAAAGCTCTAATTGTGGAACTTCTGCAGTAGTATAATTTGTTGAGCTGTGTTGTGTCTTTGTATATTGTTTGTACTCCTTTCAACTCAGTGCATGGTGTTTGTGTTGCATTTTATGTCTAGCAGAACAAAGTAAAGTTCTATGCATATTGTATTTATATCACACTTCATAAATTTTATCAAGTAAAACTTTGTAATTAAAAGTGTAATCTGAAGACACCTCAGAGAGCTTACGTAGCTCATGGCAGTTGTGCCAAACCAAATATATAAGCAAAGCCCCACTAACATTGCACACTCAACTCAGATGTTCACTTCTGGCATTTTCATCAAAATGTGGCATACACTCTGCATGTTGACAAAGTGCTAGCAGAACCTGAAACAAATGTGAAAATTATTTGCTTTTTAAGTTCATAGTGTTTTAAGTGTTAATTTTAATTATATTAAAATGGGCAAGGGTGGAATGACCCTCACTCTGTAGAGGTTGGGTTTTCTCCTCTTTGCCATCTGACACTGCTAAATGCTAAACTTCATCAGTAAATTGAATCTGTCATACTAGGTACAAACTGACGTGAGTGTGGACACTAAGCATCAAACACTACAAGGAGTAGCATTTCCTATTTCTCGAGAAGCTTTTCAGGCTTTGGAAAAATTGAATAACAGACAGCTCAACTATGTGCAGTTGGTAAGAGATATAATGATTATTATGAAATGGCTTCGGTTTTTGGTATCTATGGCTTGTATAAGGTTTGTTTTTAATGGATTTTAAATCTTTTTATTTGCTTTTTATTTTTTATTCATTTTTTTTTAAACTACAAAAGCAATATATATTCACTGTGGAAAAAGTGAAATTGTGTAAGTTTCTCCTTGTCTCCTTGTTTTTTAATTTATAAATTTTAAATTTCTTTGTATCTGTCTTAATAAATGTATTTTGTTTCTTATTGACAGGAAATAGATATAAAAAATGAAATTATAATTTTGGCCAACACAATAAATACAGAACTAAAAGATTTGCCAAAGAGGATTCCCAGAGATTCAGCACGTTATCATTTCTTTCTGTATAAACATTCCCATGAAGGAGACTATTTGGAGTCTATAGGTATATGATACTTTTTTTTTTAACATAATACTTTCAGTTTGCTGATTGATATTTCATCACTATATTATTAATATTTCATCACTATATTCTTTCTTATTTCTTGGCCAGAGGGCTTAGTTGTAGCTTTATGAGGTTTAGTATGTGCTTTAATTGATATGCTACTAATTGGATTTATTATTATTTTAATTTACAGTTTTTATTTATTCAATGCCTGGATACACATGCAGTATAAGAGAACGGATGCTGTATTCTAGCTGCAAGAGCCCTCTGCTAGAGATTGTAGAAAGACAACTACAAATGGATGTCATTAGAAAGGTAATTACCTATTTATTTATCTAATTTATTTTATCTAATTTATCTTATTAATATATTTAATACCTACCTATTTATTTTTAATTTTTCAGTTTTTGTTACATTTTTATTGTCTTTCGTGTAGTTTGTGATGTATTGTGGTTTATAAATGAAAGGTTTTTTTTTCTTATTCTCATCATAAATCCTTAGGAACTCCTCTAAGTGCTTGAGGATGGCCTATCATGACCCCAGTCTCCCTGTAGATCTGTATTCTCTAATATGTAGCCACAAGCTACATGTGGCTATTTAAATTTAAATATACATAAAAATTAAACGAAATTTAAAATTCAGTTCCTTAAAAGCACCAGCCACATTTCAAGTGCTCATTTTAGCCACATGTGGCCAATGGCACTGTATTGGATGGTGCAGAATTTAGAGAACATTTCCATATTGCAGAAAGTTTTGCTGGATGGTGCTACTAAAGCTGCATACTTGTGATTGTCTCAAGACTTTATTAATAAGGAACTACAGTCTCTGTTTATAACTGAACCATGGGATTGTTGAGAATCTTTCCAATTGTTGGGAAAGGAGAGAATGGGCATAAACATGAATTTTGGGAGCTAAGTTTTCTTAAATTTATTTTCTTAAATGCAGGTGAGGCATGGGAAAAGATATGGTTTATTCTTGAGCCCTTCAACTCTTAAAACACAGGTCCTTACAAATTACCAGTGTTTTAGGGACTGAGCCCTTTAAGAGCTTTTTAAGTTCTTAAGAATCACTTTCTATAGCAGGGGCTGGCTGACTTTTTCTACCAGAAGACCAGATAGTAAGTATTTTAGGCTTTGCCAGGCCACATATGGTCTTTGTCACATATTCTTCTTTGTTTTATTATTTTGTTTGTTTTTACAACCCTTTAAAAATGTAAAACACTCTCTTAACTTGAGCAGATTTGGCCTGCAGGCCATAGTTCGCCAACCCGTGTTATAGAGTGATTTCAAGTGACCCAAGTGATGAAAGGGCCATGAGTAATGTTTCTTGAAAATATGTAGTGTACCAAAGCAGAACAACTTAAGAATATAGTGGTGATTCCTACTATACTACTTTTAAACATTAGTTAAATTGGAGAAGAAAGAGAGAACCAAATAGAAAATGAGTATAGCTAATTATATATTCAAGCAACTCATTTAGCTCCCTCCTCCTCCCCCCAAATAAGATGAAAGTGAACTATTTTCATATGGTCCTTGGTCCTCTCTTGCTGGAATGAGTATTATGCACTTATTGGTGAGCATTCACACCTGAAAACTGGCTCATTGCTTGTATTAGGTTTTGAATGTTGTGTTTTCTCACATTTTATCACACTTTGCTAATCTTATCTCTTACAGATCGAGATAGACAATGGGGATGAGTTGACTGCAGACTTCCTTTATGAAGAAGTACACCCCAAGCAGCATGCACATAAACAAAGTTTTGCAAAACCAAAAGGTCCTTCAGGAAAAAGAGGAATTCGAAGACTAATTAGGGGTCCAGCTGAAACTGAAGCCACTACTGATTAAAATTATTACAATACTAGATTTTTTAAAAGTCCAGCTTTTAGTACAGGAGAACTGAAATCATTCCACGTTGATGTATAGTAGGGGAAAAAATTGTACTTTTTGAAAATCAGCACTTTTCACTTCTGTGTGTTTTTAAAATTAATGTTATAGAAGACTCATGATTTCTATTTTTGAGTTAAAGCTAGAAAAGGGTTTGACATAATGATGTTTAATTTCATCACAGTTTTCATAGAGTGATAATTCCACACTTTCACATAGTTCTTTAAATTTTATAGAGTTGGGCCAATTCCAGAAAATCGAAAGTAAGATACAATTCTTATTACTCTTCGGTGATATATCACTTTTTTTTCTTCAAGGGAGAGAGGAAGACCTTAAAATATTCATTCCACTTAATGAATATGTTAAGGACCAGATTAGATTATTTTCTAAGCTGAAAACTTCATGTGCCTAGGAAAAGGTGCTCTGAAGAGCAGTGCTCAGACTGTGAGATCATGTCTACAACTTTTAGAAACAGTGCTTTATTGCAGCAGTCTTTTCTATTTGACTTTTTCGTTTTTTAAATGGCATTAAAATTTCAGAAAATCACTCTGAAACATTAAGGGTACCAGATATACTTCAGGATTTCTGATTTCTGATGATGTTGAAAGACACGTTGAAACTGCTTTAGTAAATGCTCTTTCTAGTGCTTTAAAAATTTTCCATTTCAAAAGTAAGTCGTTTCATTATAGGTAGTGTGAGACCAAATATTTATGTCCAGTTGAATATTAAATTAATATCATTCAAAAGCAAACAAAACTAAAGTCAACAATATTGAAAAAGTTTTAAACATCAATTGATTTCTCTCTAAAACCATATATTTGTAGGCAAATATTCAGATTTAACAAAATTATTTTAAAGTCCTAGTACTCATCAGCCTAACACAGATAAACAAATCTTGTTTCAGTTCATATCTTATTTCAAAACACAGTTAACTGTTTTCTAAAGCTTTGCATTTTCAATTACAACCTACAGAGATTTTGAGCCTTGTTTTCTTTGATACTTGAAATAGAGGGAGCTAGAAAACTTCATCAGGTTTAATCTGATAAACCTGCTGCAAGAGCCATAATTTAGAGGACTTTTCTAAACAAACTGTGGGGATCCGGGATTTAGAATTTCTTGATCTAAACTTTATGCTGCATAAAACAAATACCAGAAATGTACATTTCATAGTATAAAATATGAAACACTCATTTTTACACTTTATTATCTAAGGTAATATATATGCACCTTTCAGAAATTCAATGTGTGTTCAACTAAAAGCATATTAGAATAATTATGAGTTGACAGATTTTTTTGTTTTCTAGAATTAAGAGTATTTGTGTGGGGTTTTGTTTGTTTACAAATAATCAGACTATAATGCAAAATAATTGACGGTAATGTTGCACTTGTTTATGAAAGATGTAGTTTAAGTTTTTCCGTGGGTGCACACATAGACACACATACACACAAACTACTGCATTGAGAATCCTGGAGCTGTGTTGTCGACCATAGGCCAAGCTGCTGAAGCTGTTATTTTCGGTCAGGAAGAAAGTTAACCTGTCATGAAGGTATAAAATAATTTAGTAGTGAATGTTTTTCTCTACCATGCATGTGCAATTATGCTCTTAAACTCTATTACACTACATGAAAGTAAGTGGACATTCCAGAATATAGATGTGATTATATAATCTTAAACTAATTATTATTAAACCAATGATTGTTGAAAATCAGTGATGCATTTGTTATAGAGTATAACTCATCGTTTATGTTTTAGGTGATGTCATCATAACAATAGAAGGTGAATAAAGTATTCCCAGTGAATTTATATAGCAGTGAAGAATTACATGCCTTCTGTGGACATTTTATAAGTGCGTTTTATATTGCAATAAAATTTTTTTCTCTAAATTGTGTACTAAATTGGTTTTCTAGTATAACCTTTTTTTGTTTGTTTGGATAAGTCTGCATAATGCAATACCTGGTGATAGGTTAGATAGCCCACTCATCTATTTGTTAATTAACCTATCTAAATCAAAAAGGATTTTAAATAGTTTGAAACCTAAGGAAGTTGTGTCAATAGAGTGCTTTAGTAGATTAGAACTTTTCCACTACTGCAGCAATAATGGAAACGTCATGAGTTAGTTCCTACTGTGATAGCAGCAACCCAGTACAATAGGGTGACCGACATACTTGACAGTAAGCTGTTAAAAGACATTCACCCAGCAAATACTGAGTGCATTCCAGTTTGCAATTCAGTATCAAATTGATCCTTGTTATTAGAACTATATTACAAGATGGATGTCTTTGGTAGCAGTTTCACCAAGACAGAACTGTCCTTAAAATGTCTGATTTTGAGAACTATTTTAAAAAGTTAAATTCTTTATGGCATTTCTACTCAGAACTAAAATCACGTGCCTGAGGTTCATATTGTAGTTTGGTATAAATCCTTTCACACGTTTTTGCATATACAACCATATGTTATGAGGATTGGAGTTTTTTTTTAAGTACTGATTCTGGGGCTTCATCTCCAGAGATTTTGATGAGTAAGTGGGCCCAGGAGTCACATAGTTACACAAATGATTCATGTGTAGCCATGACGGTACAGTTTGTCTTAAATGATATAAAGTGAGGGTTTCCCCCCCGTTCAGTCAACAAACTTTCTAAGTATTCCTGTATATTGGTCTACAGTGGTTACGATGAAAAGGTAACATCTCAGAAAAAAATGTAGCCCTCACTCTTGCCCACTAACTTCTGCGTGACTTGGCCCATGGCTATCTCCACCTCCCTTGATCAGTCTGCTGCAGCTCAGCTGCTGGCTGGACCTCTGAAGGACCAGGCACACTGCTGCCTCAGGAACGCTGAGTGCCGTTCCTCACACTGGCTTACTCAACCCCAATATCTATGTGTCTTCCTCCCTCACTTAATGCAGGTCTCTGCTCAAGTGTACTCCCTGTCCTCTCACCTTAATCTGCTTTATTTTTCCTCAAAGCACTTAGGAATTAAATATCTATGTATATATTGGTTGTCTCCTCCACTAAAATACAAGTTTGATGGAGGAAAGAGACTTGGTTTTATTCACTGATGCATCCTCAGACCCTGGAACAGTGTCTAGGACATAGTGGATATTTTATTTGTTGAATAAATAAAAGAATGAGATTTTACCTTTCCTTGGACGGTGGGGAAGGGAGCACATTGAAGCAGTGGTAGTTTCAGCACAGAGGCTCTGGCCTCCGCTGCTGTATTTCTGGGCAGAGCAAACATCACTAGCACTGACACAACCTCTTGCCCTCGGAAGATTATAGTTTCTACCCCAGGAGACTCCAGTACTGACTCATTCCTGAGCAGCAAGTGTCTTCCCGTGGGGATCCTCATTCAGCTGACTCTGTTCTGGAAAGACCAAAGGCTAAGTTCTACTCAATGGCTAATGCTGATCCACCACCATCTGCATTTGCTAGAATTCAGTCAGGTGGTAGTGCCTTATAAACCTCCAGACACTTAACAGGAAGAGGTGCTTTTCTGAGGTGTGGGGGGAGTATATTTTATTTACATTTTAAAAATCTGATAACTAATATCTCTTCCTCCTTTTCAGCCCCAGAGACTTGGGAATGGAAAGAACAGGGACTTCAAAGACCTACTTCCCACATAGAAGCACACACCACCATGGCTTACACCAGCAAAGGAAGAGAAAGAGGTCTGAACCTCCTTCTGAAGGATCCTCCAGGTCTGGGGGAGGGGGAGGGAAGAGGGAGGGGTCGAGGAATGGGTCTCTTAAGAAAGGGACAGGGCTTCCCTGGTGGCGCAGTGGTTGAGAGTCCACCTGCCGACGTAGGGGACGCGGGTTCGTGCCCCGGTCCAGGAAGATCCCACATGCCACGGAGCGGCTGGGCCCGTGAGCCATGGCCGCTGGGCCTGCGCATCCGGAGCCTGTGCTCCGCAACGAGAGAGGCCACAACAGTGAGAGGCCCGCGTA